TAAAACACTATACCATTTGAAACAACCAGGTAATATAATCAACTGAATATCCTGAAACCGAACTTCTGGTTGCAAAGATATTTTCATTGATTCCTCCATCCGTTGCAACAAATGCCCCATAAACATGTATTCCATCAGGCCAAGGCCTATCCAAGATAATGTGAAGCAGAATAGCAGTTATATGGAAATCAGTGGAAATTAGCAAAAATCAGAAAGAAATAGTCTTGCCCCCTCATTTATACTGGAAGAGGAACCCTGCCTGGATTTGAGTCCCTTTCACAATAAAAAGTAAGCCATTCCATTTACAGAAGGGATGTCTGGATCTAAGCCAGCATGTTTTATTTCAATGCAATTTAATACTGTAATCCAGTCTGTTAAGGATTTTGCGCATCATTTTTTAATGAAATATTAACAGGCCATATACCAAATACGTTTGCCTTATGTTACTTTACTTCCATTCACAGCCATAATTGTTTGCAGTTAGAAAGCAAATTTCAATGCATATAACACAAGTATTCATCTCTTGGTGTTTTGAAAAGAATTGTGAACATCTGCCTTTCCTCTGAAACTCTGAATCTCACGTGGCCTGTTGAGAGGATATAAGCTAAGCAAGAAAGTCTGTAAAAGAACACTTGGGATGCCTTAGCTAAGACACATGTAATGACACATGGGAATGTAGTTTAGAAAAATGTCATCCTAATTTGCAAGGCTGTACTTGTTGAACCCTATTCAACTAAACATTCTGCTGCTTGGAGGACATGCAGTTTGTATGGCAGTTACAGCTGTGGCAGGTTAAAAGTGTTACCTGCATCAAATACATGAAGTGGGCATGACAATATATAGATGAACAAATCATGAGAAAATGTTTGGATGGCTACTTCACTCAAATTACCGAAAGCAGTTTGTGCACTAGATCTATAGGTTCCAGCAGTAACCAGGATTTATTTTTAAATTTTTGGCAGCTCTCGTGCAATGTGTTTATAAATGCAGAGCCCACATCCTCAATTTCACTTACCAGCACCTGAGAGGAAGTGGTATCTCTAGAAATTTGCTGTCCTCCATGCAATTCTATGGAATGCTTCTTCAGAAGCTACAACACAGTTGCCCTGGGGAATTAAGCCCATTTCTAGAGAGTATGCGTCTCTAGGAATGTCTATGTTCACTAGGGTAACTCTATGGTATGTATGCTGGGACCAGAAGATGGGGAAATTTATGATTCAGGTGACTGTGATGTGGCCAGGAAGAGATCCCCTGTAGATATCTGGGTCTTACTGTATAGTTTCTTTCTCTTACTTCAAGCAATAATCATTCATATCTTTGTAAACTGAAGACTTCACTGCTGTAATACAGATGAATCCACCTTTTGTTCAAAGGATGACTGGTATAGAGATACGAGAGGCATGATTTACCACTCAAACATTTCACTAGCACTTCAGAATTCACAAAGGCTCCATACACTTATTTAGCTTCATTTAGTATCCCACGGTTAACATATAGAACCCAGAAAGACCTGTACATACTTAGCTTCCGAAGAGCAAGTGGTTAATGCTATGCAATCTAACTAGAACACATGAAAGAACTGGTGAGTACTCCCAGGCGCTCAAGCTACCTGCTGATGTTGGCTCTTGATGTTTATCTAACTCCATTTAAAATTAAGTTCAACTGGATGTGTTTTTATATATTCATTAGTTTCCTTAACACTTGTAGAAACTTTGCTTTAATCACATCGTGTATGTGTGTGTGAAAATATAGATGCAAAAAACTCTTGAGACTGTAAACCACGAGTGGGGAACTGAGTTAGGCTAGGATTCCATTTGCATCATATCAGACCTTAGGAGATCCTGCCTCACTCACTTCTGCCCAAAAAAATTCCCCAAAATCCCCTTTAGGGAACATAAGGGCACGAATGCTCTATCTTCAGTCTTCCTGGCCTCTTAGAATTCATTTTGGGTATTTCTGATGTAATTTTTTAAATGCCAAACTTTTTTTCGATTCCTATAGGGTCCCCAAAGTTAAATGAAATGTTTTCCCATAACTCTGTTATGAATGCCGATATAATCATTTGTCTTCATTTCTCACTTGGATATAAAATCCGAAAGAAAAAAACCCAAAAGATCTAACCTTTGCTTGAAAAGATCTCATTAATGGAAGGGCCCAAAGGCTGCTGAAAAGTAATTCTCAAAGGTTTTAAAGTATCATATAATGGATACTGAAGAGTACTCTTCAAAAGTTTCAAAGTAACTTATAAAGACTGCTGAAGGCTGCTTTTCAAAAAATTAGAAGTGACACACAATTCTCCTCATAAGTTAGGTCTGCCAATTTGCCAATCAAGATCCTGGCATTGTTCAAAGGGGGGGGGGGCTCTATCAGTTTCATCCTGATGTGCCCAAGCTTACAGCCTCTAATCCAGTGAACCTAACAGGTGAAAGTGTAATTCTACATGGGGACCAACCTAGATAAATATACTATAGCATCTTCTCTTCGTAAATAAAAGGTTACCATGCAGCCATCAAAACCCTAAAAGGAAAAAGTCAGAAAAATTACTATAAAAAGAGAACTTCTACTTTTGAGAGATGTCTATACAAAAATATATTGTAAGAACTGATAACTGTTCAATTGATGATGCAAAAAACTGGAGTCAACAATTTGTGTAAACTAAAGCAGAAAGGGTATGGCCTCCCTTCTTCCTACAGCTTCATTCCCTCCTCAAAATGTGTTCCAAAAGTCATAGAGCCAATTTTCAGGCAGCGAAGAAGGCAGATAGGTCAAGAGGGAGCAACATGTTACTTCAGAGTACTTCTGTTAACACACTGTGTTTAATTCCCTATTGTGATGACTTATGGGAGAAAACCCCATCCTATATAAATCCTGCCAATTGACTGCTGCCAAACGAAGCTTAGTCAAAACAGCAAGTTCACACCTACTTACCTAATAGTAAGTTTCATTAAATTTAATAGACTTACTCCTAGAATATATCCATAACTCTACTATATACACAAGACTATACAATACAGTGGCACAGAATTAAAACAAAATATTCAACATATAAAAAGTATGTGTGAGAAAAACTCTACTCAACAGTACTACTGAATATGTATGATTTACCAATAGTAACATATATTTATGCAAACAAACTTTCCGAGACCGTGAAATATGACAACATAAGGTGATGGCATCACATTTCTGATTAAAAACAACCAAGTTTTATCTAAATTTATATTTGTACAAAGGTAATTGAACTGAAAAAGCAAAACAGGAAATGTCTCCATTCTGGGCAACCCAACTAAAAGGGAAAAATCAAAAGCTTGTCATATCATTTACTACTATATCTAGTTAGCCAAGAGCACTAATACTATCAAATCATTTTAAACTGTTAACTGAATTTTATGACAAACACTAGCCAAAAATCAGCAGTATTACATCTTTTTGAAAGGGGCCTACATTTTAAAAAGAGCACACTGAACAATAAGAGCAACAGTTCAAAACTAACACAAATAAAATGGTTCATAAATGTTTATCATTTGATTCCCTGTAAAATGTAATGTGATTGCTGGAAGTAAATACTTCGAAAGTGATCAGTCTTTGTGAAAATAATTACTCTGTTTAGACGTCATTGCTTTTCTGCCAAACATAAGCCATATAAGGAAGTTGAAGTTCATTGCCATCTATTTTATTCAGTCCTTTCAGATGCCCAGAAGTAACCTTTTCAAGAGACTTTGATGCTCAAGTGTATAGTTTAAGACAGTTTACTGTATTTTCATTGACAAAATTGGCTTCCTGCTCCCAACACAAATCAATAACACCAAAAGTACTGGCACTAGAGAGAGCTTCAGCCTTATTTAGCCTATAAGGACTATTCAGAATTTACAAACATATTCAATACATACTTGCACAAAAGGAAATGTCCTCTTTCTTGTATAACCATCAGCAGATTATATGCTGCTACTTCCCTTGGAACATAATTTGCCAAATTGTATTTAATTTTAAGAGAACCACTTGAACCATAACCACCACCTTCAATAAATTACACGAGACTAAAAATGCAGTCTGAAAAGTTACAGCACAAACTATTCAACTGCATTCCTTCAGGACACTATTAGATTATTTTAAAAACCTGGGTACATACATTTCATTTTTGCAGACCTCTGCAAATTAAATCAGACTAGTTAACAAGAAGTAGTTAGAAGTGGTTAAGAAAAATGCTTCCAGTACTTCAAACTTCTTCAAAAGTCCCTAAGTTTTGGGGGGAAAATGTACACTTGACAAGAATTTTCTTGGGCCTGAATTTCGTATTTGCTCCATGGCCACAGGACAATTTATTAGAGTAAAAAAGTTGAACAACACACAAGAACTTCTGAGTTTCCAACCAACATACAAGAAAAAAATTGCTGTCCCTTATGTAAGGGGATGCCCTCTCACAGGAAAAACAGAAAGTTACCGGTTCAGCAACTAGACATTTTAAACTCAGGAATGCATAATCGGGCAGTTTCAATTCAATCCCCTCTTGCTGTGGAACAAAGAAACTTCTGTTTGAGAGGCTTTGCCTCCCAACAAAAATTCTCCCAGATTTTCCCTCTGCAAGAAAATGCAAGTAAGGATCACAGACACACATCCCAAAACTGGAAGTCAAGTTCCTAATTCATAAAAGCATAAAATTGGGGGGAGGGGATCAAGTAAAAAACATAGGCCATGAACTCAAAACGAAATACATATAACTTCCCTTCCTCCAATAGAAAAAAAACACTACAAGGTGGGCCGAAAGTCACAAAGGGGCTTCAATATTTAAGAACTCTTTTATTTTAGAATAAACATTATATACAATACATAAATAAATAAATAAAACTACATTATCTGCAAAATCTTGTTTTTTCATTGCTTTAAAAAGTTATCAAAAACATCAGACATCTTTGTGACTTTTGGCCCACACTGTGTATTAGCGATCTCCAAAAGAAGAAAAAATACCATTAGCCTATTTTGGGGAAATTATTTCCCCTACCCACCTCAGACTTCAGGCGTCCCGATTTCCTCCATCTGCGCAGAGTTCTTCCAGCAACGTTTTAAATCCCAAAAGTGGATTTTTTTTCTCCCCAACAAAAAAACGAAAGCAAAGGGGAGAAGCAACAACTCTCAGTTGGGAGTGCCAGGGGGAAAAAGAGAGGCTCTTCTACTCTTCTTCCTCTGTGTATTTTACTCCCTTTTCCTTGGGTTTTTTTAAATTCTTTTTGTTGCTTCCTTTCCACACACTTTCCTCCTCTTCACTTTTTTTCCCACACAGTGGAGAAAAGATCTTGTCTAATCTCTGTTTCTCTCCCTTCTTCTCCTTTCCGTCTCTTATTCTTCTTGGGAGGACTTTCCTTGGTGCTTCCTTTGCACAAAACTCCTTCCTCCCCCTTTCACCTTTTCTCCCTCTCAGTCGAGATGGGGACAAAAAATATTTTCTTCTGCCTGATTATATCCCTTCTCTTCCTCGTTTCAGTCTCTTCTTCTTGGGGGGGGGGGCTTTCCTTGGTGCTTCCTTTGCACTAAACCCCTTCCTCCCCTTCACTTTCCCCCTCTCAATCGAGAAGGGGACCCAAAAAGTATCTTCTTCTCCCTGATTAGATCCCTTCTTCTCCCCCTTTCCGTGTTTCAGCCTCTTCTTCTTCTTGCTTTTGTCCTGGTTTGTTATCCTTTTCCAAAACTCACTCCAGTTGTGAAGAAGGAGAGAAAAGCTCTCGTCGAGTCTCTCCCTCTCTCTTCACCTCCTTCTTCCTCTGTCTCAGTCTCTTCTTGCGTTTGTCGTTGTTTGTTGTACCCTTCCCACAACTCACTCCTGTTGTGAAGAAGAGGAGAAAAGCTCTCGTCGGGTCTCAGTCTTTGCGTGTTTCAGTCTCCTTTTTTGCAACCTCCTTATTCCCGTTTCAGACTCTTCTTGCGGTGTTTTTCTTGTTATTTGTTGTATCCTTTCCACAACTCACTCCAGTTGTGTAGAGGGAAGAAAAGCTCTGGTTGAGTCTCAATCTCTGCTTGTTTCAGTCTCCTATTTCTCCTCCTCCTCCTTCTGTTTCAGTCTCTTGCGGTGTTTTACCCTTGTTATTTGTTGTATCCTTTCCACAACTCACACCAGTTGTGTAGAGAGGAGAAAAGCTCTCTGTGTGTGTGTTTCAGTCTCCTTTTTCTCCTCCTCCTTCTTCCCCCGTTTCAGTCTCTTCCTGTGGTGTTTTTCCCCCTTGTCGTTTGTTGTATCTTGCGGTGTTTTATTTCCTTGTTTGCTGTATCCTTTCCACAACTCACTCCAGTTGTGTAGAGAGGAGAAAAGCTCTCGTTGAGTCCCAATTTCTGTGTGTTTCAGTCTCCTTTTTCTCCGCCTCCTTCTTCCCGTTTCAGTCTCTTCCTGCGGTGTATTTTTTTCCTTCTTGTCGTTTGTTGTATCCTTTCCACAACTCACTTGTACAGAGGAGAGAAAAGCTCAATCTCTGCGTGTTTCAGTCCTTTTTTCTCCTCCTTCTTTCCGTGTTTCAGTCTCTTCTTTCTTGCGGCGTTTTTCCCCCCCTTGTATCCTTTCCTGTTGCGAAGAAGGGGGAGGAAAGGTCTCCTCGCGATACTCTTGCGGGTTTTCCCCCCCACCTTGTTGTATCCTTTCCAATTGCGAAGAAGAAGGGGGGGGAAGGAGAGGTCTCGTCGAGTCTCCTCCTTTCTCTCTCTCTCTCTTTCCGCCCTGACAAAATATGCGGTTTCAGGTGCCTCAAACGCCGCCCAGTCCCGGCTGAGGAGTCATTTCCTGCCCCTCATGAAACCCAACTGAGGCCTGCTTTCCCCGGCCTCTTGGAGGCCTAAACCCTGCTTCCTTCCTTCCTTCCCTCACGAGGCTTTGGATGCTGTCGTCGCCTCCTTCACTGCTACTAGGAAGGGAAAGCGAGATGGAGGCGCAACATGCCCCTTCCTTCCTTCCTTCTTTCCTTCTCTCCTCCTTTTCCTTTCTTCCCTCGCTTCCTCTGCCTCACACTCGACTCCTCCTCCTTCTCCTCCTCACACTTCCCCCTTCCTTCCTTCTTTCCCCATTATTCCCGCCCTCAGCAGCTCTCTCTCCCTCTCTCTCTCTCTGTGTGAGGTGTTTCTCTCCTCAAAGGGCGGAGGAAGGGAGGGAGGAAGCAGCAACAGCTCAGGAGGGCGGCGGGCGTTACTATTACTACTACTACGCGGCTTTTGCGCCTCCGCCCAGGCCAGAGAGAGAGAGAGAGAGAAAGACTGAGAGAGGCCTTCCCTCCCTCCTCCTCCCTTTTCAGACTTTTCTTTCCCCCTCAGAGCCAGACAACAAGTCTGGCAATGGGCGAAGCGCCTCAGCCAATCCGGAGAGAGGAGACTCCCGCCGCAGCCAATCAGGTGGCGCTCTCAAGGTTTGGCCGGGAAGGAAGGGAGGAAAAAGATCAGGTTAGGGTGTGAGGAATAAGAAAAAAAAAAATCTCTCTCTCTCTCTATATATATATATAAAGATAGGTAGGAGGGAAGGAGAGGAAAGGGTTTTTTTGTCACTTAGGTTTGGAGAGGAAATAATAATACATTATTTCTTTACTTTACTTTACTTTACTTGTATACCGCAGTTTCTCAGCCCAGCAGGCGACTCAAGGCGGTTTACAACAAGGAAAACATCAATCAACAATATACAATTTAAAACCATAAAAGCATAATATACAATATTGACACAACAACAGGTAGCACAATGCATCTCATAACTAGAGTCGCGATCCAATCCGTCATCTAACTAAAATGATAAAAGGTCTGGAGAACAAGCCCTATGAGGAGCGGCTTAAGGAGCTGGGCATGTTTAGCCTGAAGAAGAGAAGGCTGAGAGGAGATATGATAGCCATGTATAGATATGTGAGAGGAAGCCACAGGGAGGAGGGAGCAAGCTTGTTTTCTGCTTCCCTGGAGACTAGGATGCGGAACAATGGCTTCAAACTACAAGAGAGATTCCATCTGAACATGAGAAAGAACTTCCTGACTGTGAGAGCCGTTCAGCAGTGGAACTCTCTGCCGGAGTGTGGTGGAGGCTCCTTCTTTGGAAGCTTTTAAACAGAGGCTGGATGGCCATCTGTCAGGGGTGATTTAAATGCAATATTCCTGCTTCTTGGCAGGGGGTTGGACTGGATGGCCCATGAGGTCTCTTCCAACTCTTTGATTCTATGATCCAAATTTCCATTCCTGTAATAAATTATTTCCTCTCCAAATAAATAATTTATTATTATTTCCTCTCCAAACCTAAGTGACAAAAAAAAACCTTATTATTTCCTCTCCAGTACGCATGCCCAGTGTGGAACATATCTCACCACACTAAAACAGTGGATGTGGCTCTTAATGAGACATGCCACATTATCACGGGGTGTCTGCGCCCTACACCACTGGAGAAATTACACTGCTTAGCCGGTATTGCACCACCTGACATCCGCCGGGAAGTAGCAGCCAATAGTGAAAGGACCAAGGCAGAGACATCTCCAGCTCATCCCCTGTTTTGGTATCAGCCAGCACGTCAACGACTTAAATCAAGACATAGTTTTCTAAGATCTACAGAGACACTTGCTGGAACACCTCAGCAAGGGAGAGTCCAAAAGTGGCAGGCCCAAACCCAGCACCTCAATCCGTGGGTGATACCAGATGAGAGACTCCCCCCTGGGCACACAGAAGACTGGGCAACTTGGAAGGCGCTGAACAGACTGCGCTCTGGCACCACGAGATGCAGAGCCAACCTTAAGAAATGGGGCTACAAAGTGGAATCCACGACATGCGAGTGTGGAGAAGAGCAAACCACTGACCACCTGCTGCAATGCAACCTGAGCCCTGCCACATGCACAATGGAGGACCTTCTTGCGGCAACACCAGAGGCACTCCAAGTGGCCAGATACTGGTCAAAGGACATTTAATCAACTACCAAGTTTGCAAAATCTGTGTTTTTTTTTAATCTGTTTGTTTGTTTTGTTCTGTTAGAAATGTAATACAATGGTATAGTTGCTGATGACACGATAAATAAATTTTCTCTCCAAAGAAATGCTGGACCACTCTTACAACCACCATGTCAGACTACACAGAGAAGCCACTGAAATCCACAAGCATGTGGACAATTTCAACAGAAAGGAAAACCATGAAAATGAACAAAATCTGGCTACCAGTATTAAAAAACTCTAAAATTACAACAGCACAACAACAGAGAGGAAACAAACAAGGACATCTAATCACTCTCAACAAAAGTTGCCCAGGCACTGCAGGCTATCAAATGCTAATCAAGGTGGTCAGTTGAAACATTCACACCTAGCTCCAGCAGACAAGAGTTCTTTGTCCCACCCTGGTCATTCCACAGATATATAAACCCTTTCCTAGTTCCAACAGACCTCACTACCTCTGAGGATGCTTGCCATAGATGCAGGCGAAACGTCAGGAGAAAATGCCTCTAGAACATGGCCATATAGCCCGGAAAAACCTACAACAACCTAATAATAAAGAGTTTGAATAGAGGACAAGTCAGGAGACCACTTTCAATCCTTGGGGAGGGGATAAGAAAGGGAAGAGGGTTTTAGTATTTGCATAAAGGAGAGTGAAACAGAAAGGTGTATACATAGGAGATATATAGATATAGGACTCAGTCACACACAGAATAGAGGGGTAGCATTACTTCCCTAACACAGTGTCTAGATATAGGGAAGTCATGCTACCCCTCTATTCTGCTTTGGTTAGACCACACCTGGAATATTGTGTCCAATTCTGGGCACCACAATTCAACAGAGATGTTGACAAGCTGGAATGTGTCCAGAGGAGGGCGACTAAAATGATCAAGGGGCTGGAGAACAAGCCCTATGAGAAGCGGCTTAAGGAGCTGGGCATGTTTAGCCTGAAGAAGAGAGGAGATATTTATTTATTTATCATGTCATCAGCAACCATACCATTGTATTACAATTCAAACAGAGCAAAACAAACACACAGATTAAAAAGGGAAAAAAAGAGGAGATATGATAGCCATGTATAAATATGTGAGAGGAAGCCACAGGGAGGAGGGAGCAAGCTTGTTTTCTTCTTCCCTGGAGACTAGGATGCGAAACAATGGCTTCAAACTACAAGAAAGGAGATTCCATCTGAACATGAGGAAGAACTTCCTGACTGTGAGAGCCGTTCAGCAGTGGAACTCTCTGCCCCGGAGTGTGGTGGAGGCTCCTTCTTTGGAAGCTTTTAAACAGAGGCTGGATGGCCATTTGTCAGGGGTGATTTGAATGCAATATTCCTGCTTCTTGGCAGGGGGTTGGACTGGATGGCCCATGAGGTCTCTTCCAACTCTTTGATTCTATGATACTACAGCAACTTAAGCCCTCCAGGTGTTTTGGACTCCCAACTCCCAGGGTAGGCTGTTAGGAATTGTGGAAGTTGGACTTCAAAACACCTGGAGGGCCAAAGTTTACTCATGCCTGCACTACAGAGTTATATTTTCCTTGGGAGCAAGGTTACAACAACATCTATTATAGAACTTCAGTATGCTGATGACAATGTCGTCTGTGCGCATTCAGAAGAAGACCTAAAAGCCACCCTAAACATCTCTGCAGAAGCATATGAGAAGCTCGGCCTGTCATTAAACATCAAGAAAACCAAAGTGCTCTTCCAGCAGTCACCAGCCAATCCCTCTCAAAGCCAACCTTAAAAACTCTGGCATAGACATTGAGAACTGGGAAGCCTTGGCCCTTGAGCACTCCAGTTGGAGGTCAGCTGTGACCAGCAGTGCTGTAGAATTTGAAGACGCTCGAATGGAGGGCGAAAGAGAGAAACATGTCAAGAGGAAGGCCTGTCAAGCCAACCCCGACCGGGACCGCCTTCCACCTGGAAACTGATGTCCTCACTATGGGAGAAGATGCAGGTCAAGAATAGGGCTCCACAGTCACTATGGACCCACCACCAGAACACCAACCTTGGAGGACCATCATCCTCAGACTACGAGGGATTGCCTAAGTAAGTAAGTAAACAGAGTTATAGTCACCCTCCAGAATCATGGCACACTCCCTCGTTGCCAGGGAAAATAGGCAAAATGGCAAATACCAGCCAGACTTTGAAGCTACAAGGCCATTCAATGCTAATCAAAGGTGGCCAATTGCAAGTCACACTTGCCCGAAGCAGACAGAGTTCTTTCTTCCACCCTGGACATTCCATAGATATATAAACCTAATTTGCCTAGTTTCCCACAGACCTCACAACGTCTGAGGATGCCTGCCATAGATGTGGGCAAAACGTCAGGAGAGAATGCTTCTGGAACATGGCCATACAGGCCATACAGCAGCCCAGTGATTCTGGCCATGAAAGCCTTCAACAACAAAATGGCAAAAATTACTAATGCGGAAGAATTTGTATGTTAGGAAAAGCTGCAGCAGTTTGCTTTTTCTTCAGCCTTTTGGGAAGGGCAAAACTGGGCCTCCTCGTTGCAGCTGGACAAAAGATGCCCCTACACTTTAGAATTAATGCAGTTTGGCAACACTTTCACTCCCATGGCTCAAGGGCTACAGAATCATGAGATTTGTAGTTTCGCAGGGTCTTTAGCCTTTCCTGGCAAAGACGACTGGTGTCTCACTAAACTTACAACCCCACAGATTTTATAGAAGAGTAGTTCACAACCTGTGGGTCCCCAAGTGTTTTGGCCCTCAATTCCCAGAAATCCAAACAACTGATACATTGGCTGAGATTTCTGGGATTGTAGGCCAAAACACCTGGGGACTTCCAGATTGAGAACCACTGTTCTATAGCACTGAACCAAAGAGGTGTCAAACTTCATTCATTCTACAATGTAGATGTAGCCACCTGCAAATACATTTTACAATGCTGTTCCATTATGCCGGCGGAGGCCACTAGGAGGTGCTAGAAAGTTAGTCCACTTTGGGGTGGGAGTTGAAGGAGGAAACCCATTTCCCCTGTTTATGCTGGCTATTCCCCCTTCCCATATTATAAATGAGGGTTGTTTCCATGACGGGGACAGGGGTGGAGGCATAACAGGAAAACAAGGTAATGGTTTTCCTCCTTCAACCCACCCTCCACCCCCGTAAAATGGGCTATCCTTCTCTCTCTTGCGCCCCCTTGTGGCTTCCTCCCAGATAATGGAACAGTGCCCATTTTATTAAAGTAAGCAGGAGAAGGAAAAGAGAAAAACTGCTTTTGAAAGAAGATAAAAAAAAACATACTACAGTAAATAGTTCAATAACTTTTTCTAGAATTGTTCTCAAAAAGTGACTACACTTGTCCATCTCCAGCCC